GCGTCGACGACGTCCAACTGAAGTGCGTGGAGGAGAAGGCCATTCAGAAGAAGCACCGCGCGTCGAGCGGCGTGAATCTTGCTTCCCACATGCACTTGTTACCAGAGGGCTACAAGGCGTGGCTTCCATCTGGCGCAGCGGGGTGCACGTCGGGCATCGTGCCTTCAAAGAACTCGCACTGCGCGAGGTACCCCCCCGACCGACCCCCAGATCACGCACCGTAGCTTGCGTTGCAGCTGGCGGCGGCAGCCCTGGGTTGAGCCACGTAGATGCCCTTCGGGCGGCTGTCAAGCGGCTGCGGGTGGCGCATGACGAGACCCACGCAGCAGATAAGATGAGCGCGCCCCTAGACTGCATTTCCCCATGACCTCGCGTTGCGCCGCGCGTAGCTGCACGGGGGCAACCGCGCGTGGAACGGGCGGCAGGATTCTGCAGAGCGATGCCTCCGAGTTGCCACATACAGGCCGACTGCATTTGCTTGTGGACGCTCAGGGGTTCATTTCCCCAAGCCGCCTCTGACTCATGCGTTTCTTTCGGCGGAAGGTCGATCGCATCGCGGGCCCAGCTTGTTCGAACGAACGCGTTGCCCCCCCGCCCGGCACGCGGGAACGCGCGCGCGCGGTAGTTGGGCGGCGCTACGCGAGCGCAGCCGCATCGGCAGACTGTTCGATAGAGAGCCGCAGGGTTGGCAATGCCAAGCCCATGGGCGCCGCTTCGGGCATCAGCCGAGTCAATATGTGCCGGTCGGTTGCGCGTCGTTGTCAGCAGCGGCAACGACAGTGGCGATTCTGAACGATGGGAGCACCAGCGATAATGATGACTGCAAGTATGCGTGCACGGACATTTGGCAGTGATGTGAAAGACGGCGATGGCAACTGCCCCTCGTCTTGCCCCTTGCCCCCCCCCCCCCCCCCCCAACCTTCCGCCCCCCCCCCCCCTCGCCCCCCCGCCCGCGTGTGTCCCTCGCTCCCCCCGCCCTCTGCATTCCTCTCCCTGTCCTTCCTGCCCCGACGCCCCCTTCGCCCCCTTCCTCCCTTTGACAATCTTACTGTTCCTTCCCTGCCGCCCCCTGCGATCCTTTCACTTCCCCCTCGTCCTCTTGCCAGCCCCCCCTCCCGCTCGGAGCCCGAACACTTAATGCGCATCGGTCAACTTTGTTGAATCCAGTTGCGTCTCGAGTCGTTTGAACGGGCCGCGCAGGACTGCGGCGCAAATCCACGACGGGCGCTGCTGATTTCGCCGCTGATGGTACGCGCCACTTGGATTCGCCATGCGCGCTCGGCTCCCAGCGCCCCAGAGTTTGTGGTGACACGCGTGGGACGGGAGCGCGCCCATCACAACTAAGTCGTCCACCTGGCATTGCGCTGCCGCCAAGCACGCGCACGCGACAGAGCCCATATGTCCAAACCACGGAACACACTTTTTGTCGCGATGGTGGGTGCCCTGCACATGATTCCACGAGATCCGGCGCCTGGTCTGTGCTGACCGGTGCGCGCGCGCGATTCCAGGGACGGCGTCATGAAAAAATCCAGACGTCGCGTGTCTGGGCCAGGGAGGTCAAGGGCGGAAGAGGTATCTCGAGCCCCTCAATCGGCGTTCACTGGAGAGCCTTGGGCGTTTACGAAGCAGCCCTGCCTTTTTCGACCCATGCCCTTGGGGCGAATGGCTTCGCTCGCTGGGATGCGTGTTAGGAGGTTTCTGCCCTCCAAGGGAGCCCCGCGGGGAGCGGGAGGCTTCTTAGAAACACCCCTACTTTTTAGGGGGGAGGGGGAGGGGGTAGGGGGAGGGGAGAAGGTTTCTTAGAAACACCCCTACTTTTTAAAAGGCGCGGGCCTTCTCTATAGATGTAAGGCCCGCGCGTTCTAGCAAGCGGTCTCCTTCCCCCCTTCCCCTACCCCCCTCTGCGTGCCGCCAAGGGAGGGGTCCAGGTATGATATCGACAACTGGGGTCCCAAGGACAGCCAGGGTAATTGTTTGAGGCGTATTGTCCTTGGGACCTTATCCCTCAGGATCTCATCTTTCAACCACCGATCATACACCGCCACGAAGGGAACGGAGGAAAATTAATCGACGCTTTGAGCTTCGAGGTGTTCAGACGTGTTCGAAGCGTCTCGGAGTTTTTCCAGTCTCGCAATGACCTCAGCGTCCGTGCCTCGCTGATAGCGCTCTGGAGGTGCTCGGATCGTCCTGAACGACTGCCGGAGTTCCAAGGTATGACCCGAAAACCATCAAAGGACAGGAGGAGAGGAGGAGGAAGAGAGGAGGAGGACGAGGACGAAGACGAGAGGGACGAGGAGGACCAGTGTGAGCCCATGAGTCACCAACGAAGTTGGAATAACCCCTCCCCCAGGCTCCGTCGACATAGGCCTCTACACCGGATCGTTTCGACTGGGGGAGCTGCTTCGTTGGAAGACAACCGTTTGAAGACCCTGAAGCATGCCAACGTTTAAGCTTCAGGGTCAGAAGTGGCGAGGAAGTCTCAGGCGAAACGCCCGTCCCGCCCTAAAAACATGTCTTGCTGTGCGACAGGAAGAAGTTGCTTATAAGGAAAATGACTGGAAGAGGTGGAGGAGGCGATGGAGGAGGAAGAGGAGGAAGAGGAGGAGGAGGGGGATCAGCGTAAACCAAAAAATCATCAACGATGTTGGAATTAAGCCTCCCTCGAAGTTCCCTCTTCATAGGCCCCATACAGCGGCTCACTTCCATTGAGGGAACTGCCTCGTTGGAAGGCAACCGTTTGAAGAACCTGGAGCATGTCAAGAAATTGTTCTCGGGATTTCAACGCCACGTATCAGACTGACTGCTGCGTTTTGGCGACCCGAAATCGTGCCATAACGCTTTGTTATTTCAGCATCGCTAAACAACATATTGGTTGTACCCTCGTAATCCGGAACCCTTCCAAGACACAGTTCTTGGTGCGCTGATCATAGGAATCAGTGAAACTCGTGCAAATGTTTGAAACGACTGCGCGCGGCGCTAAGGCGAGAACCACATTGTGAAAAGGAACCGCCCTCATTCCGTGAAACTCTTGCATTTGTTGCAAAGAACGTGCGCGTCGCTTAGGCGAGAGCCATATGTTGAAAAGGAGCCGAGTTCAATCCGTGAAGATCTTGCAACCTTTTTTGCGTAGAATGTGCGCGGCGCTAAAGCGAGAGTCGCATGTTGAAAACCACCCGCCTTCAATCCGCGAAACTGTTGTGCGATGTTTTGCAAAGAACGTGCGCGGTGCGAAGGCGAGAGCCAAATGTGCGCGGCGCGAAGGCGACAGCCACATGTTGAAAACCACCCGCCCTCAATCCGTGAAATTGTTGCAGATGTTCACAACGAATGTGCGCGTCGCTAAGGCGAGATCCACATTTTGAAAACGACCCGCCCGCAATCCGCGAAATCCTTGCAAATGTTTAAACCGAGTGTGCGCGGCGCCAAGGCGAGAGCCACTTTTCGAAAACCACTCGCTTTCAATCCGTGCGATTGCTGTCACTTTAAAGCTTCAGAGTCATAAGTGGTGAGGAGGGCTCAGGCGAAATGCCCGGCCCGCCCTAAAAACTAGCTTCGGGGTGCGACTGGGAGGAGTCATCTACAAGGAGAAAGAATGGAGGAGGAGCAGGAGCAAAAGCAGGAGAATGAGCAGGACCAGGAGCAAGAGCAGGAGCAGCAGCAGTTGCAGGAGTAGTAGCAGGAGCAGGAGCAGGATAGCCGAAAGATGAGAGATGAGAGAGGACAAGCTAGGCGCTCTCGCGCCACATCTATCATCCTACCCCTCCCACTGGCGCGGATGAGTCAGTAGTCCTGGCGACCCGCAGGAAATAATTTCATCGCAGTGTTTGGCCAGTTGCAGTGCCAAGATGGAGGGCTCCCCAGAGCTCCTGGCTTCTCACTTGTTCGAGCCAGGCGTTCGCGCCCAGTTTCCCTCCCCAGAGCCCTCACATATCGATCCGGCTCGAACACCGGCTCGGAATGATGGGGTTGGGGGCGTCCTGGCCGCGATTGTTCGCGAGATGGTTCAGTACTTGCTACGTCGGATCTCGGGGTCCAGCTATCCACCGCCGTGAAGGTGGGTCGGAGGTTGGCATGCTGGGCTTTGAGGTTCTAGGTCTTCGAATCCGCAGATTCTCAGTGTCTTTCCAGTCTTGGGATGCCTTCAGCGGCCGTGCCTCGCCGAGAGCGTTCTGGAGGTGCTCGGATCGTCCTGATCGGCCGCCCGCTACCAAGGCATGGTCCGAACACCATCAGAGGATAGGCTCAAGGGGGAGCGCATCTCATCGCTGGCTGCGGCCTGACAGCCCACCGGAGGTTCATAGAACTCCACCCGTCCAAATCGATCTGCGAGTTGCTCCTCTCTTCGCCCCTCGACAGGGGGGGTCCGGCCGCAGGCTTCGCGGCCCTCCGCCCGCCTGGTCTTGTCCCGGGACCGTCTTCGGTAAAGGGTGCCTTGCTGAAGGGGGCTACGTGAACTGGGAAAACGAAGGGCTTGGTGGAAACGGGGGATCGAAATCCGTACCAGTTTCTGCCGTAGTCGGGCTCCCGAAGCCTTCCACGGGCCTTGGGTTTGGCTACAAAGCGGCTCAGGATGTCAAGGTAGTCCTGGGGAAGACTGCCGGGACCCAAGACCAAACTTGTCTCGTCTCGGTGTCTTTGTTCTTGGGAGTTCCAGAAAAAAGCTCCCCATTCGAGGATAGAGGGAGCTGGCATCTCTTCATCGGCGGAAGGCTCCCGAAAGTCGGCGGAAGCTGGCGGAAGTAAGACGAGGGCGGATCCGCCAGCAGAAGCCAGCGTGTAAAAGATGCGCCCCCAAGAGGTTGAGAGTTGTTTGATTCAAGGTGTCCAGAACCCGCCACATCTGCCCCTGCACCGGTTGTGGCCAGGCTGGTCCTTGGCCCAGGGTCGGTGTGCATAGACACGCTCCATGCGAAGCCAGGAGGGTATCAGCGCCGATCCAGGACCTGACTGGCCAGGATCGGTGCAGGCGTATAGGAATGTGGTTGGCGTCCCGCTTGCAGGGGCGTGCAGTGGCGGCCCGCGCTGCAGCTTCTGCGGGACATGCGCGCCTCCTGGAAGGCCCAAAAACACACGCACTACTTTTCGGATGTCCTCCGAGGCGCGGGGTTGCCCATAACTCGAAGATCAAAAATTGCATAAACGTCATTTGTCGGTGGTCCGCGCGGATTTCTTGGATCGGCGCCAGGCCACCTTGGCGGCGCCCCCGGCGCCGCCCCCGGCGCGCTCCGCGCACCAGGGATGGGGGCTCAGCGCAGATCCAAGATTTCCATGCGGACTTCCGACAGACAGTGTCTGGTTATGCCATATTCTGTTCCTTGAATCACCACCGTCTGGGGGATCGATCTTCGAGGGCCTCGACAGGCGGTGGATTTGGATACACCCGGCCTTGGGTGATCCAAACATATCCATAACTACTGCCTGCCGACGTCCCCGAAGATGACCCCATGTAGGCGGTAGCGATTCTGGATAAATCCCCGTCTCGCATGTCAGCGCAGATCTCTTGGATCGGCGCTGGACTCCACATCCCGCACCCCTGGGCAGCGCCTGCGGCGCCGCCCCTGGCGCGTTCCGCGCGCTGGGGAGGGGCGCGGGGGCGGGGAGTCCAGCGCCGGCTCGAGAAATCTGGACGGACCTCCGGAAGCTGATATCGATGTAGTTTTTCGGTCTTCTGCATCCGGGCCCTCGCCGACGGTGGTCACGTACGGCGCGTCGGTCGGCGCTTGCGCCAGGGCCCGGGCCTGGGAGCGCGCCGTGCTGCTGTTCGAGCAGGCGCGGTCCTGCAGGCTGGAGCTGAGCCTGCTGGTCTACAGCGGGGCCGCGAGCGCCTGCAAAGCGGGGCTGCAGTGGGCGCAGGCCCTGGCGCTGCTGGGGGAGCTGCGGGCGGGCGCGCTGCGGCCCAGCGCCATCTCCTGCAGCGGCGTCATGAGCGCCTGCGAGCGGGGGCACCAGTGGCGAGCCGTGCTGCACCTGCTGGGGTGCATGGGCCGCTGGCTGCTGCAGCCCCCCAGCGTCGCCTACGCCATGGCGGTGAGGGCGTGCGAAGCGGGCAGGCATCTCTCGCGGGTGCGCTGGCTGTTCCACAGGATGCAGAGCGAGAGGGTCGTGCCCGAGGCCGCGTTGTGCAACGCCTCGGTCAGCGCCTGCGGCAGGCACCAGGAGTGGGCTGCCGCCTTGGCGCTCTTCCTGCGGCTGCGCACGATGGCCCTGCGCTGCGACGCCGCCGCGCACGGTGCAGCCGTCCACGCCTGCGGCAGGCTGCGCAGGTGGCGGCAGGCGCTGCGGCTGCTGGGCGCCGCGGCGGAGCCCAGCGCGGCGGCGTGCGGTGCGGCGGTGAGCGCGTGCGAGCGGAGCGCGCAGTGGCGGCAGGCGCTGCACGCCCTGCGGCTTGCCGATCGGAGCGGCCTCTCCCTCACCACGGTGGCTCACCACCCACCAAACCACGCCAACCCGACCCGAAGGCCTCAATTTGCCCTCCATTTCCAGTGGGGGGGGGGAGCGGGGAGCATGGCGAAAACACATGGAACCCGTATCCCCCCTCGAAGCCGAAATTCGGGTCTTCGGGTTGGGTTTGGGTGGTCTGGTAGGTAGGCAGGTGGCGCTGAACGCTGGGATCGCGGCCTGCGCCAGGGGCCACAGGTGGGACCAGGCGATCACGCTCGTGGGCCAGATGCGGCGCCTCCGCATCACCCGCGACACCATCACCAAGGGCTCCCTCGAGGGCGCGAAGTTATTCGCGCTTCGCGCTTCGCGGTCCTCGTTCCTTCTCCCCCTCCTCCTCGTCCTCCTAGTCTCCCTTTGGGAGGGCGGCGCGAGAGCGCGAAGTTATTCGCGCTTCGCGCTTCGCGCAGCGCGAAGCGCGAAGTTGGGAGCCCTAGATCACATACAACAGCGCCATCGCGGCGTGCGAGAGGGATGAGCAGTGGGAGGCGGCGCTCGAGCTCCTCGGCTCCATGGAGCGCGAAGCAGTGGAGCGCGACGCGATCACCTGCACCGCCGCGGCACGGGCGTGCGAGAAGGGGCGCCAGTGGCGCCTGGCGCTGCTGCTGCTGGCATCGGCCATCTCACGCCTCCTGTCTCTGGGCCTGGTGGGCTGCAGCGCCACGCTGGGCGCGTGCGAGAAGGCGAATCAGGAAAGCACCGATCAGGTTGGGAGGATGGGGTCGGGAGAAATGAGGAAATCCTTACCCGTAGGCGGCCGAAGGTATCGTTCGTTGCATCCGGATCCTACTGCTCATACCCTTGCTCTTACCAACCCCTTCCTCCCAACACGATGATTGTTCGGTGAATCAGGAAAGCAACGATCAGGTTGGGAGGATGGGGTTGGGAGGAATGAGGGAATCCTTGCCCGTAGGCGGCCGAAGGTATCGTTCATTGCATCCGGATCCTATTGCTCATACCAAGGGCTCCCACGAGGGCGCGAAGTTATTCGCGCTTCGCGCTTCGCGGTCCTCGTTCCTTCTCCCCCTCCTCCTCGTCCTCCTTTTCTCCCTTTGGGGGGGCGGCGCGAGGGCGCGAAGTTATTCGCGCTTCGCGGAGCGCGAAGCGCGAAGTTGGGAGCCCTACCCTTGCTCTTACCAACCCCTTCCTCCCAACACGATGATTGTTCTCGACGGTCCGCGCGCTGATCTCTTGACTCTGCACTGGACCGCCCCTGGTGGCGCTTCTGGGCGCCAGGGAGGGGGGTCCTGCGCAGATCGAAGAGATCCGCGCGGGCCGTCGAAAGGGTATGTTTATGTCGGCTGTTCTTCGAGGGCTCGAGCTATAGACGGTGCTCTGGCGATTCCCGTGGGCCGCTTTCGATGCGCGAGAGGAGGACGAGGACGGAACAGGGGAGAACGAAAGCGAACCGAGAGCGAAGAGCACGGCGCAGCTCGAGCCCTGCCTACCCTTCCTCGAACGAAGGATTGCAAAAAAAACCCTTCGAAGGATTGCAAAAAGAACCCTTCGAAGGGTGTTTTTTGCAATCCTTTCTTCGAAGGGTTTTTTTGCAATCCTTCGAAGGGTTTGTTTTGCAATCCTTCGTTGAAGGGGCGCCAGTGGGAGCGGGCCCTCCTGCTGTGGCTGGGCATGCGGCGCGGGCGCCTGACGCCCGACGCCGTGGTCCACGAGGCCGTGCTCACCTCGCTGGCGAGGTCCAGGAGGGGAAAAAACACACAGACACAATTAATCGTCGATTTCCCAGAAAATATGGGAAAATATGGGAAGTGGTGGGGAAGACAAAAACCCAGAAAATATGGGAAAATATGGGGAATATGTTTATTTGTGTGTATTTATTTGTGTGTCCCAGTTTCCCTTCAGAGGTCCCAGCAGGCGCCCCGCGCCCCGCGCCTGCGGCGCCTGCTGCAGCTGCCGGGGGAGCCGGAGCTCTGCCAGCTGGCGGGCGGAGCTCAGGCGATCGCAAATCACCACCCACCAAACCACCCCAACCCAACCCGAAGGCTCAGATTTACCCTCCATTTCCAGTTGGGGGGGGGGTCGGGGAACGTTGAAAAAATACATATGGAACCCATACCCCCCCCAACCCGAAATTCGAGTCTTCGGGTTGGGTTGGGGTTGTCTGGTAGGTAGTCAGGATCAGCGACGGGCCCCGCTTCCGTGTGCAGTCGCGGATCTCCGCCGCCCAGCGAGGCGGCGCCGGCCGCATGTTGCGGAGGGCACCTCCCCGGGTGCATGCATGTTTCGGGGATGGACAGACTTACCCTGACACGTCGAGTAAGGAATTGGCCGTTCTCGGTTCGCGACAGGGCGTCGCGGCCGTCATTTTTGCGGGTCCAGGTCCGTCGGTTTCGGTCCCAGGTCGTTTTCACTAAGGGGAGGTCTACTAAAGGGAGGTTTGTCCACCGCCGAATTTTGGCGACCGCGCGCCGAGTCCGCGGATCGCTGAGATCCATGTCTGCGCGCCATCAGGAGCGGGGCGACTGCCGCGGCGCGGCCGCGGGCACCAGTGGAGCCCAAGGGGTGGGAAACTGCGCCGAGGCCACTTCCCCCGCCCCGTCTTCGCCCCTGTTGGGCCTCCTGGGCGGCCCCCTCCTCCTCTTCCTCCTCCTCCTCCTCCTCCTCCTCCTCCTCCTCCTCCGCCTCCTCCGCCTCCTCTTCCTCCTCCTCCTCCTCCTCCTCCTCCTCCTCCTCCCTCCCCTTCCTCCTCGTCCTCGTTCTCCCTCGTCCGTCCTGTGTTCCCCCCTTCTCCTCCTCCCTCGTCCAGCCACGGCCGGAGGCTCGCCTCGAGGTCCGCGAAGAGCAGCAGCGGCCATGTCGTTCGCCAGTCGGGGACGGCAAAGAGGGGGGTGATGACTAAGGGGGGGGGTGCCAGATTTCATGGCGCCTCCTTTCATTTCGTTGCGCTCCGGGCCCCCCGCTGGGCCGCGCACGTGCCGCTGGTCACGCTTTGCACCCCCCCCTCTCTTGGACGCCCCCCTCTTGGCCGCGTCGTTCGCCGGGGCTCCGCCAGGAACACGCCGCCCTCGCGCCTCTTCCTGCTGGGGGCCGGCCGCGGGGACGCGTCCGTGTACTGCGCCATGGTGCAGCGGTGGCGCGGGCGGCGGCGGTGACCCCGCGGGCCGCGGAGACCGCGGCGCCCCGGCCGGAGGGAGAGGCCGCCGCCCGCGCGCCGCTCGGGGCCCCGAGGGGCCGACGGGGGCCCTCCTCTCCTCCTCCTCCTCCTCCTCACCCTCCTCCTTCCTCCTCCTCCCCTCCTCCTCCTCCTCCTCCTCCTCTCCTCATCTCCCTCCTCCTCCTCCTCCTCCTTCCTCCTCTCCTCCTCCTCCTCCTCCTCCGTCCTCTCTCCTCCTCCGCCTCCTCCTCCTCCTCCTCCTCCTCTCCGCTCGCGCGCTCCGCTGCGGCCTCCCAGGCCCCAGGCCCCTCCAGTGGGTGCGATGCGGTGTGTGGGCGTGGGTTACTCCTGGTTTTGCCGATCGGCGCGGGCCCTCGCACCCCCCCCCCCCTCCCCCCCCCTCCTCTCGTGGAGAGTAGGTCTTGGCCGTCTCGGGCGCCCGCTTCGAGCAGGCGGGGTCTCTCCCTCCCCCTTCTCAGGGAGAGTAGACCTTGGCCGTCTCTGGTTTTGCCGATCGGCGCGGGTAGGGGGCCACACGCGAACCCTACCCGTACCCCCCACGACTTCTGAGGGGCAGGGTGGGGTTCACACCTTTGTTCGGGAGCTCCCGAGCGAAGTGAACCCCACGCTCCCCCTCAGAACTCGTGGAGGGTAGGGGTAGGGTTCGCATGTGGCCCCCTAGCGGGCCCTCGCAACCCCCCCCCCTCCCCCCCCCCCTCCCGTGGAGAGTAGATCTTGGCCGTCTCTGGCGCCTGCCTCGAGCAGGCGGGGTCTCTCCCCCAGAGGACGCACGGCCCCAGGCAGTCGCATTGAGCAGAGGTCCGGGGCCAGACCCCCCCCCCTTCCGCCCAGTGTCGAAACGCCGGATACAAAAGCGCTCGCTATCGGCTCTGGTCGGCTCGCTCCGATTCGAGTCAGGTGTCGCCAAGATCCGATGCGGCCCGATGCCTGCGTGACGCTGTCGTGCATCCTGGCGCGGCTGGTCCGCGGCCCGTCCGATGCGATTTCGATTCCGCGCGCCGACACAGGCCGGCCCGACGCGCATTTCGATCCGATCCGATTTCCCGTTTCGATGCTGGCTGATCTTGCGGGGCTGACGGGGGCCCCGGTCGGGCCCCGAAAAACAACTCGGGAGGCAAAGTTGGGAGTGGTGGAAAGCTCCAGGGAAGGAGGAGGAGGAGGAGGAGGAGGAGGAGGAGGAGGAGGAGGACGAGGCAGGCTCTGCTCCTGCGGCCTGCATCCAAATCCTGGACCGCCTGCCGAGGCAGGCTCTGCCCCTCTCCGTGCTCCTGCGGCCTGCATCCAAGCGGGGCGGGGGCAGTGCCATCCTGGACCGCCCGGGGTGCCGCCCGGCCCCCCAGATCGGGAGCCTTGAGACGGGGGTCAATGCAAACAGGGGTCAGCCACGTCGCCGGATCCTGCAGGATCCTGCAAAGACCCCCTCTGGCTGACCCGGGTTAGAGAGCCGTTCGTGGCCGCGAGGCGGCCGCGCCTATTGGCTGACCCGGGTTTGCGAGGACCTGCGTTGCAGTTTTTTTTCCCTGCATTGCAGTTTTTGGTTTCCTGCTGACCCGGGTCTGGATTGACCCGGGTCAGAAGATCCCCGAAGTGGGGCGGGGGGGCCCCGCCGCAGGAGGGCCTCGAGCAAGAATCCGAAGGCTCCCTGGACGAAGCAAGCAGTGGCGAAGCGTCCTGGCGTGCCTACAGGCCTGCCAAACAGTGTTCTAAGAACCTTTTGTGGCTTCCACGACATGTTATCAGTTCTCAGGACATTTCTGGCTGGGACTGTCTTGCTTTAGCACATCGGGCTTATGTTCTAAGAGCATTGTTTTTGTTCTTAGAACATCTTCGGGTTCTATAAGAACATTTCGTGGTAGGCCTATAGGAATGCCAGGACGGTCGGTCCCTGCTCAAACGAAGGGGAGGGGCGACGCTGGCCCCCTTGGGGCGAACATTCCCGAATCAGTGCTTGCACTGAAGGCGTCCCAGCGGATATCGAAAGATCTGACGAAGGTGTCCCGCCGATTCTGGTGGCCGGCTGGGTTCTCGGGTTATCCCGGTTCCGGCTGCCCGGGTTCTTCGGGGGCCCCCAAACGGGGTGGTGACCACACCGTGTGGTGAGTCGGTGGGGATTCGGGGTCACCGCACGGTTTTGGGACTCGAGGCCTTTTCCGAGGACATCTCGGGCGACAGGGGCCTCCAGGGTCCCAAGACCGTGCGGTGACGGACCGTGCGGTGAGGTCTTAGGGGATTTGGAGGTCACCGCACGGTCTGTCACCGCACAGCTTTGGGACTCTAAAGTTCCTGGTCATTGGTTCCGGCCCGATTTCGGTGGGTTCCGGATTTCCTGGTTCCAGGGTTCCCGGCCGATCTCTTCATCGATCGCTTTGTCGACCCCACTTCAAAGCATCCACTGATTTGTTTTTTTTCTGTGTAATCCCCCCTCTGGAGGAGGAGGAGGAGGAGGAGGAGGAGGAGGAGGAGGAGGAGGAGGAGGGACCAGCAGCTGCTCCTCGAGGAAAGAGGGCGGCAAAGGGGGCGAAGCTGGGGGGAAGGCGGCGGGGCCGGGCGGCGCCGCGACCTCGTGCGGTGCAGGGCCTGCCCGGCCCCGAGCGCCCTGGCCTGCCCGAGTCACCTTTTGCGAAGACGGAGGAATGGGATACACACACAGACACGCACACGCACGCACGCACTCACACGCACGCACACGCGCACGCAAGCACGTACGCACGAACGCACACACGCGCACACACACACACACACACACGCGCGCGCACGCACTCGCACGCACGCGCACACACACACACACACGCACGCACGCACGCACGCACGCACGCAAACACAAACACAAACACAAACACAAACACAACACAAAGCACACACACACACGCACGTACGCACGCACGCACGCAAGCACGCACGCACACAGAGACACGCGCACACACACACACACACACACACACACACCGCACGCACGCACGCACGCACGCACGCACGCACGCACGCACGCACACAAACACAAACACAAACACAAACACAAACACAAACACACACACACACAAACACAAACACAAACACAAACACAAACACACACACACACAAACAAACACACAAACACAAACACACACACACAGACACACACACACACACACACACGCGCGGGCACGCACGCATTGACGCACGCACGCACGCACGCACGTAGCCGTTCTGGCCCAGGTGGTCTTGGTGCAGCAAACACTCAGAGCGGCTAGTTGTTGTAACGAGTTGATGCGGTTCGTTTTGCACGGGTTTCTCTCGCCCGTAGGGCGGTGTGATCGCGAATGTCGGAACGCACTGGAAATGTCCACGCTGCCCGAGATTCAATTCGATCGGCAAGTTCAAGTGTGTACAGTCGGGATGTTACAACATTCGGCCAGGCCCTGGACCTGCCCCCCGTCCGTGGCACACGGCTGGAGGAAAGTGTGCGCAAGGCGCACCTCAACTTAAGTCCGATTTGCATCCTCGTCGCCGTGGTGCTGTTGGTGCTGCCTTGGATGAGGCTGGTATCAAGTCATATGTGGGGCTCAGACAAGATGTATAGGACCTGGTTGCGTCTACTCTGTCTCAGTCCAGCCGTGATCGTGTACAGTACGCGAGGACGGCGGCCGCAGGAGGGTGGGCTCCAGGGGCTACGATGTCTAACAATGTTGAGAAGGCTGCGACAGCTTTGCTCTCTGGCCAGCAGCGGCTGCAGAAGGCGAAGGACGTGGCCTCCCAGGCCATAGTCGCCCTGCAGGAGCAGCAGGAGGCTGTACTGGTTTTGGAGAAGGAGCTGGCTGCGGCAACGGAGAAGGCTGCCAAGGCCCTGGGAGCCTCGACTGCGCCACCCAAGCTGGACCTGGGGACGTGCCTGGAACAGCTGAAGCAGCTGCAAGCAGGAGCCAGCCAGGGTACCACAGTGGAGTCGATTTTCGGAGAGGTCACAAAGGTCATCACCGATTTCGCCAAGCAGCAGCAGACGGCACCAGCGCCCGAGCCAGCCCCCGCCAACCCTAGCGGAGGGGCGCAGGCCGCTGACGGTGCAGGAGCAGCGGCTGCAGGAGCTGGCGCGACCGACGCCACGATCGGCGATGATAATGCTGATTTCAGTGATCATACTCAGGGCGACGACCCTGGATGGCTCCTGGCTGGGGCATCCAGCGCAGAGGAGCGCAAGCGGCTGATTGGCGCGATCGAAGTCCTGCACGCCGAAGCCAAGAGAAGGAAGACTGGCCTTTCGTGCTACCCGTCAGCGGCGCCCCCGGGTGGGCCCCACGGTGAACGCCAACGATTACTCTACATTCGAGGCCTTTCTTGATCGTGCGGGGCTTCGCCGGTCAGATTTCGTCGCTGTTCAAAAGACGCGCCTTTCTGTTGAGCACAGCATTGAGGTGACAGCGAGATTGGCTATGCGTGGGAGGACCAGGGCTTCATGGGCATGGAGGTCTGCTTCTGCTCTGGCCACGTGCGCACGGCATGGGGCACTTCGAGGGCGTCGGCAGTTCGGTCATCGACGTCAGGCGCGCGACGTTCGTGCGCCACTAAGGGTTCTGCTCAGGTGGCGTCGTGCTGGCCACTGTCTACCTGCGCGCGGGCGAGGGGCTCTTGTTCGCCAACGAGGCCATTCTGCACAGGGTTGCGACCATGCTGCAGGTCCTCGGCCGACCATTCATCGTCAGTGGTGATTCCAACATGGAGCCTGCCAGGTTGGAGCGGTCCTTTTTTCTCGAGCTGCACGGCGGGCGCGTGGTCGCCCCGAGCACAGGCGCCTGCAGGCCAGCTGACAGTGTTTTCGACTACCTCGTGGTTTCCAAGCAGTTTCGCGGCGCCCACGCCGAGGTATTGCAAGACTGGGAGTTCGGGACTCACCGCCCAGTTCAGCTCACTATCGACGGCGTGCAGATCGACGGTCGGGTTCAGGTCATGCGCGCCGCTCAGGCCTTTCCCAGCCCCTTTCCAGCGGGGTGCAGCACGCGTGAC